TAAAGTAAGCCACAAGAGGGGCGCAGAGTACACGAGATTTTCAAAATTCTGTCACTTTTAAACATCTGCTGTGTTTTCTGTAAAAGAGGTTAGGAACTTTACTTGTTGGGTATTATTATTTTTTAGTAGGTGGGGTTTGATTTTCTTTACTTTGCATCTTACAGTCATTTACCCCCATGCAACGTGAGCCCAAGGTGGGGTAAAGTGTTGCTATTCTGATCTGGTAGCATTTCACACCCACTCTGCAAAGATGTAAATAACAACACAAGGTTCACAGCAGTGGAAAATCAGGCCCATTATCTTTAACCTCAGATGGTCCCTTTAAAGTCCTTGGTTTATAGCCTTTTAACACAGTATCACGCTTTCCGTGCATCTTGTGTCTGCCTGCGTTTTTACTGCACACTCCTAATAATGCTGCTATATAAATTTGGCTCATGGAACTGAAAGGTTCATTCCCTGCACACACGCCGAGGACTAGGGAAAAAAAAAAAGGGACCGATTCTGAGACTTACACTGGGGTGTTTCCATTGAATTCAATGGAACTATACTTGATTCGCACCAGGGACAGTGAGAACAGAATCAGGCCACCATCTTAGAAGCCACGCTGCCATCCTTGATTTCTCATCTGCCTTAAATAAATGGAGATCGAGGGGTTTTGTGTTTATACCCTCGTTAGCAGGGACTGTTTTAATTAATGCCTTCTGAGCCCATCACAATGTATCTAGGAACTGTACAAAAGTGAAACCAACCACAACTAAAATACCGCAGAGCTGGGCCCAGTGGCTAAGAGAGAAGTAGCTGCACTCTGCCAAATGAAAGCATCCAAGGAGGAACAAAACAATTCTTGAAAAACCGTAAAAGGAAGAGCGGGCAAGAAAGAAGGTTAGGCCTGGCCATGTCTATGCAGATCCATGATGATTCCAGCCAGAAGAGACTAGATGCACTGGTGCAAACCCTCTGTGCAGATAGGCAAAGATGCTATTTGCACTGATGGTGGTTAGCCCTGCTTGAAATTGGAATAAGCCACACTTTGTACAAGTGCATCTTACAGAGAGGCAGTATAGCCTAGTGGAGAGTGCACTAGACTAGACTTCAGGGGACCTGGGTTCTATTTCCAGTTCCTCTGCTGTGCAACATTGGACAAGTCATTTACCCTTCCTGTGCCTCAGTATACCTATCAGTAAAATGGGAATAATGATACTGCCCTCCTTTCTAAAGCGCTAGGAGATCTGTGGATGGAAAGGGCTAAATAAGAGCTAGGTGTTATTATTATTATGGCTGACTGCCTACGAGTCTGTACCAGTGTAGATAAGCCCTTGGCCAGTCAAGATGAACTGACTGTTACTTGCCTTGAAACCAGATGCTGAAGGATTTAATCCTGCGACTTTCATCCAATCAGCTGTTGGATAATCTGAACCGATTGCTATCTCTGTACTGCTGAGATACAGTAACCGCAGAGAGCGTTTAATCCAGCCTGTCTAAGGCAATAACCATGTTACTGAAAACTTCTTAATGCCGGATCAGGGTAGGGTGCTGCCCTGGCTCCCAAGCCAGGAGGTGCCGTGGAGGCAGCAGGTTCCACAGCAAGAGAAAGTCCTTTGCCTCACATCACAAGGATCTTTCTGGGTAATCTAAGGGTAGCGCTGAGCTGATGGGCTTTATAGGGAGGCCTATTTAAGCCTGCCTGGGAGTAAAGGCAGATCACTGGGATGCAGGGGAATATGTGATGCAATGCAGGGTGGTCAAAAAATTGGGGTAATGCTCTGCAAAGCCTCCCCTCAAAAGCAGCATTTGCTGTTCTAATCACATCCCTCCGAGGACAAACCTTCATGACGGCTGTTTGTGTAACTGCAACTATTATGCCAAAATTACAACCCACAAAATTAACAACAAATCTCCATGAGAAAACCATGAAGGCCCTGGGACATGCTTTTGAAGGCCAGCAGGCAGTGTTCTCTAGCGCTCAGAACAAGGGAAGGACATGATTTTCAGAGGTGCTGAGCACCCACAACTCCCATTGAAGTCACTGGGCTCTCCTGGTGCTCAGCGCCTCGGAAAATAAGGCCTGGGGATTCCTGGGTTCTAGCCTTGGGCGAGTCAGTTCACCTGTAGTGTGCCTCTGTTTCTCCACCTGTAAAGTGGGGCTATTATATACCTTTGTAATGTGCTTTGAGATCTTCAGATGAAAAGCGCTAAGTGCAAAGTATCCTATGCAAAAATTCTGAGTGGCCAATTAAAGCTGCCAAACCCAGCCATAACATTGTGTTTCCCCTTGTGCCTATGTCGCGGGAGCTGTTTCCTTAGCTTCAAGGGCTTGTCTAACACACACAGCCAAATTTTCAAACAGCCACCTCTACTGTACCCACAGTATTTGCACACGTGCCTAGGTTTGCACGCTTCAAACCTGTGCTTTGGTGCACAAGCGGACAGGGAGTCTGCACGTGTGAAAACAGTGTGTGTATGAGCACCAGTTTGCACAAGCAAAACAATGGTTGTGTGTGGGAAATTCAGGGGACTGGCTGGAAAAATATCCGAGCTTTTGCTTTATTACACAGAGCCTGCAGTGGGTCAGAGGAGACTAGTGCAATGATGGTTAATGCACTGAATCCTGGTGACTGTTAGTCACATTTGTGATGCTTGTGTCACAGCAAACACCTAGTGTGGGCAAACTGTTAGGGGAACTTTTATCCGCTCGATCCTGGGCCAAGCAGATCTTTTGTGACTGGAAGCAAACTCATTTTACAGACACCGGGAGGTTTGGACATAGACAACTCAACAATTCACTGCAATAAACGCATCTTCCCGGTTGTAAGGGGAGAGAGGGGGAGAGAGAGAGAAAGAATGGGAAGGGGATGATGAGAAGAGGACACCCTGCAGAGCTTGGTCTCACTGGCCCAGGAAGCAGAGCATGAGGGAAGAAGAGTGGTCCACAGGGAGCGCACATAGCTAGAATGTTCCCCAGAGTCCAAACCAGAAGCAAAGGCCAATCAACGTAGAGAAGAGCATTAACATTTAGCAAGTGGAGAATGAAATATAGGACAGAACAGGCGCCCCGGGCTTCCAGTTAACATCTGGACAGGGATCAAAGCTGCGCCTGGCTAGAGGAACTCCCTGTTTGTAAGAGGAGAGGGTGCTGGCCATCACTGATGCACTATCCCCTTTCAGCAAACCAAGGGGGAAAAGACATCTGGCCCTGCCCTCCAGACAGCTAAACCCTTTGGAATCCATGACCAGTTAGAATGCAGAGGGGACCCTCACCCACTGCAGAAGCTGACCAATATGCTCTCTCCAGGAGAGACCCCAGGGGCTGTTTCCTTCCTTCCTGCACAGTCCTATTTGTAAATTGATTTCCCCAAACTGACACCAGCCACTCCCCTAATTCCCACTGTGGAGGGGAAGGCAGCTTCAGAGAAAGCTCTTTCCAGACAGACTCTCAGTACCACTCTCCCCGACTGACATCCAAGCTCACAGGCAGTCCAGAAAAACAGCATCATGGGCAAAAGTAAGAGAGACTCTGGGGGCTTGACCTAGCTACCGCTGACCCTTCAGCTCAAGTTACATCATTGCCTAGAAAGCCGGAGACTTGGATTTTACTCCTGGCACTGACCTTCCATATGCAGCAAACTCCTTTCTTCTGTGGGCTGGGACAGTCTCCTCATAAAGGAGGTACGTGACATCTCAGTTAACTACAGGATCACTCTATCGCCCTTCCACACTTAAATCAGAGCCACGCTGGAGGCCACCACTTGCCCACTGGCTGGGCCAGGCCTACAGTGGGAATTAGAACTAGAGCAGAGGCAATAATTGGTTTTCCAGATTGGTGGCCAAAAAATAAAATATCAGAAAAAACAAATCAGAAAAAACTTTCATTTTGGGTCGAAACTGACATTTTTCAGTTGTCCTCACCAAAACAAAACCCCAATATGAAAAATAAATTGTTTGGGGTCAAACAAAATGTTTCTTTTGACCCAAAACAATGTTTTTTGTTTGCTTTGCTTTTTGCATTATGTTTATTACCCTTTTAATTTAAAAAAACAAAAACAAAATCTAGCTACATTGCTAAACACATCATCATTTCAAAACGAAAAGTCAAAAGGTTTCATTTTGAAAGTCCCAAATGCCATTTTGGCTTTTTCAAACTTTTTGTTTTTCATTTACTTTTTATTCAGCCAAAACTATTTGCCGAATTTGACGTGAATTGGCAAATAGTTTCGGTTGCCCTGAAACTGCATTTTTGGGCAAACCAACTATTAGAGTGAAAAATTTTGCCCACATCTATTTTGAACAGGGGGCCTCAAAAATGTCAAAATGCTACCTGCAGCTACTTCAGTCTTTGACTCAGTGGTACAGTCTTCGGAGACCATAATTCCCACAATGCAATGCTCCATTTTGACCCTCTGCACTAAGACAAGAGAAACCATGATCTGCTCCATTACATGGAAATTGAAGAGAGGACCTTAGGTTGCTGAGATGGGCAAAGTTTGAGTGCCTCTCCTACAGACAGGTTTCAGAGTAGCAGCCATGTTAGTCTGAGCTTATGCTCAAATAAATTTGTTAGTGCCACAAGTACTCCTGTTCCTCCTACAGACACTTATCCTCAGTTTGAAAGCCGTTTACATCTTCTGACAGCAGGACTAGCCATAAGCACAAGCAAAGCAGGCAGCTATTCAGAGCCCCACATCCCGCACATGCTCTGCTCCTCGTCGGAATGCCCTGTCTCTCTCTCTCTCTCTCTCTTTCTCCAGTAGCAGAGACAACTCATGGCCGGATCCCAGGCTGGCCTTGCTGCAGCGGGTTTAGAAGTAGGAATGGCGGGGGAGGTTAGTAAGCATTGGAGGTGGAAAGTGCATCATTAATGACCCCTGAGCCACATGCGCTACGGCGGGAAGTGTGGCATGCAGTTAGGTGGGCGGCTCAGGCCCCATGCCCGGTTATTATGCCAAGACAAGATGCATCTACGGTTAGAACTCCTCAAAGAGATAGAGAACAAAAATATTTACCATTAGAAAACGTCTGGGGGGTAACGTGTTGCTGGAGGTGCCTCTCCCCTGTTTAACATTATAAAAAAGTGATTTAGAAACAGTGTCCAGCAAGAAGCCTACCTTTTTAAAATTTCAATTATTTCTTATTCTCTGCCTCTCAGATTTGCAAAGATTTCCTCCCTTTCCCCCACCCCAATGAGCCTGGCACAGAGGCCTGAGCTTGTACCGTCAAACCACTCTGTCACCCGGTCCATCAGAACCCATAGCAGACTGCTGGGGCGGTCCCCTCCCATGTCCTCTGACACAATGAGGCAGGATTCTCATGCTACAGGCTGGGAGTGAGGGGATGAAAGACCGAGAGGTGCAAAGAGAAGCAGCGTTAGTTGGTTAGTATTGAACGTGTCTCCTCGTTCGGTTTGATGCTATTGCAGACTAGCTCTTCGCTATCTGGGCAGCAGAGTGTCGCCCACACAACAGGATCAAATTCGGGGTGGGATGTGTATGGGGTTGTGAGCTACAGCAGGCGTGTGTGATGGGTGCAAGGGAGTCTGAGCATAAGGGCAACGAAGAGGATCTGGGACCATACGGTCTTGGCTGTATGAGAAAAGGTGCACTGGTCTGATTTAAAAATCCATGTAGTTAAACTGGTGCAGACCTCCTAATGGAGACGCACTTAAATCAGTTTAACTTAATCCAGTAATGTACCAAACTAAACCAATTTAAGCAAGGGTTAAATGGGTTTAAGTGTGTCTTCGTTAGGTCGTTCACTCTCGTTTAACTGGATCAGTTTCCAATCCATTTAATTGCTGCTTTCCGGCTAAAGGCAAGGGCTAAGGCAGTCGGTGTCATGGACACACCAAGGGCCCAATTCCGCCCTCACCCTGATGTAAATGAGGTGTGACACTGGTGTAAAAGTGGCGTGAGAGAAGAATCAGGCCCCACGGGTGCAAAAGAAGAGCGTGGCAGGAAACGCAAGCAGGAGAGGTGTAAGGAGGAGTAGGCCCAAGTAACTACCAGCTCACACTAACATACACCCTCTTCTGCTCCTTCACCATATAGCAATTTAGACCCCCTAGCGCCCACCTACTGATGTGTAACTGCCCATCACCTGGGAATTTGGCCCTTGTATCACCAGCTTCAAGTCAGTAGCAGGGCCTGGAGCTGTATTCTGCCATGAACTGCATGGCAAATATCCCCCCGGGACAATCCCATGAAAAGCACCTGTGGAATGAACCCAACCAGCCTGGCAGGGGCTGGAGCAGTTCCTGGGAGACAAAGGGAAGGGGCACACAGCCCCATTGAGCCAGGCTGCAGGGGGCTCAGGGAGGGGCAGACATGTCACAGAAGGCAAAGATAAGTATGAGGAAGAGAGGTCCTAGAGGAGAGGCTTCAGGAGCAGGCAGTATGCTGCTACCTGGGGCAGGGAGAGGGGGCGTGAGACAGGCAGCTCCAGGGAGGTTGAGGCCTGGTACAGGGAGTTTCAGGGAGGCCAGGGCCAAATACAGAGGGCTCTGGGGTACATGTGTGTAACACACATGCTGGTGGGGTTGCTCTAGGAAGGCTGAGGCCTGGCCAGGGGGTGGGGGGACCTGATGAGGAGGCTGGAGCCTGAGAGCTGGAGTGAGGAGGTGAGAGGGGGAGCTCGGCTGGGAGGAGGGAGTGTTGAAACAAGGACCCTTGCGTAGAACCTGCCTCCACTTTCAGCCCTGCTCTCACTGTGGTCGCAAGGCCCGTGGGTGCCTGAGCCAGCACGAAGGAGGTGAAGGGAGGAGTCACAGTCAAGCCAAAACGGACCAGGTCTAGGCAGCACCGGCAGTGAAGTCTGGAGCCGTCCGCACTCAGGGGAGACTGGGGGCTGAGGAACAAAGCGCCAACTGCTGCTCTCATTAAAATCGACGGTGGAGGTCCCAGGGCCTTCACTAGGGTCAGGATCGAGCCTGAACCAGGCTTGGGCTTTGCTTCCCCCATGGGTACTACATGACTGTGTGGATCCCTGCCTAGTAAGACGGATCCACGGCAGCAGGCCAGAAGGAGCTGGCGGGGGGAGGAAGAGAGTCATTTCTCCACATGCTGGGCCTCCTGGGGGCCGCCCGAGCCAATTCCTCACCCCTCCACAGAGGAAGAGCAGAGCAGATGGGCCTGACCCAAGGACCAGGAACCTGGCAGCACAGAGAAGGTGAGCGTTTGGGCAGTGCTTCCCCCCATACGTGCACAGCCCATGTGGAACTGATTATCCCCCAGGGATGGCGAGGCGACGAGAGCCAATCAGAGCGTCTGAGCAAAGGGCTTAATGAGAAACGAACTGCAGAAGCAGGCGAGACCGAGCGGAGGGGCCAGGACAGAGCCGAAGAGAGGAGGAAGGTGAGAAGGAAAAGAGAGAGGAGTGCGATCTGCTCCCAGACGCATCAGGTCCTCGGCTCTCTGCAGCGCTCAGTACGGGGCAAATCCTAACTGGCGCCCGGGATCCTACTGTGCCACCAGGATTTGCCCCAAATGTCCCTGCTGGACAAACCAGGGGTTGGGGGGGATGGATGCCCCCAGGGCACACGGGCAGGGGGTTTAACTCCCTTCCTCTGCATCAAGAAAGAGGGAGTATCTCCTGCATGGTCAGTCTCTTGTGACTGTGGGGGCATCCAGCAGGAGAAGACAACGTCTTGTAGATGCACCAGGAAACGCTGCCCCAGCCCCCCCATGCCCCTTCCCACCTTAGAATACCGGGTAACATCTTACAGCTGCTCAAGCCAATTGCACTGATGCAAATGTCATATCTACCTTGGGCATAGGTCTGCACTCCCCATGTTGGAGTAAAGGGGGGACAGACTGGAGCCTTGGGGAAAGAACAGGCCCTCTAAGGGAGGCAGACCTGCCTGTAATATGCTCGCCCCATTATGGCCAACAGAATGAGCGGGATGTGAGGCAGGATTGGGGAGTCCAGCTGCAGGGGATTAGGCAACCTGGTTCAGGGCTGCCCAATGAGTTTGGGGAGTAGCTCAGGGAGATCAGTAATGGGATAAGGAGCCTTGAACCCCACTTGAACCCAGCAGCGACCAAAAGCCATTGCTAGCCAAAGTTTGGTCGGTGCCCCCATCCCATGCAAAATAAATTGGGTGGGTCTCAGCACACGGACAGAGGTCCATGCCATAGAACGCGCTGTCACAGTTGGCACCAATTGACCTGCTGGCTGGCAGACTAAGCAGTGACTGAATTAGTTCCCTATTAATGCTGCCCTGCATGGCACGACCCCAGACACCCTGGATAATACAGGGGGCAGAAAAGATGTGTGACCGTGTGCACCCCCTCTATTCACACTGAGAAGGGTAGAGCAGCCTGGTAGAGGGGCTCACAGGATCCGCGCTATTAAAGATGGGAAAAGACCTAACCAAATGCAAGGTCCCTCTATACCCAACGTCAGACCCTGCCTCAGTTTCTCCTTGTGTCCGATGGCTCTATTAGTTGCTGAAGCGACTTACCCCGCTGGCTAAGTCCCAAAGTTCACCCCAAAGAATCCAAACCAACACAAACCCAGATCTTTTGCCCGGGGCTCATTCCTCCCTCTGAAGGTCTGTCCTCCTCCACCAATCTTCCAGCCCACCTGGGATCTAATCAGCCCCTTGGTAGCAGCAGAGGTCTCTAGATGGCAGCACAGTGGGAGCCCAGGCCCACCCTCCACTATAGGTTCTCAGGCTTGGTGACCCGATACAGCCAGACTACCTAACCCCACGGTCCAAAGCTGCCCAGTCTTCTTCCTATAGTGCCAGCCCTCCTGCTCATTAAAGAGCCCTGACTTCTCAGTCTCCTCTCCCTGGAGTCCCTGGGTCAGCAGCCCCACAGGCTGCCCTTAGTTCCCAGCAGGCCTGCTCTTAGCCACCTGACTCTGTGTCCCTCCTCTTCTCCACATCGGGAGTCAAACCACATCTGTGGATGCAGCTGAGCCCCAGCTGCCTTAAAGGGCCAACTCACCCGGTGACCCCAGAGCATGCAATCCATCAGCATTCCCCCAGAGAGAGGGGGAGCCAGGTACTAAACTGATACATACTGGAACTCACGCTCATTGGGATTCCCGGTGACCCACAAGCCGCAAAGCTGGAGACACGAGAACACAGGGTGTGCCACTCCTGATCGGATCTCTGCTCCATGCTTCAGAGAAAAGCAAAAATCCACCCCACATCAGTGGCTCTTCCATTCTGTAGACGTTTTGCAAGAGCAAGATCTCTTCACAGACCATCTCTTCTCCCAATCCCCCATGCATGGCTCATTCTGCAGACCACCAATTGCCCTCAATAGCTCTGGCTCTTGCAGCATCTCTTCAAGGTACCTGGGACGGGGGTGGGGGATGTTCCTCTTTCCTAGTTCCTGGCCTCCTGCCCATCTGGGTCCACCTCCGATGCCAGGAGCGCCCCATAAGCCCATGGGACCAAAGGCAAAGGATTCTGGGAGCATCTGAGGAGGACCCGTTGCAAGTGGCTGGGTGTGGGTCACTGTATGATAAAACTCAAGAACCGCTGCCCTAAAGGCCAAACTACATTTCGTTCCCCTGCTCCAATCATGTTTCCTGCTGATTCATGGCTCCGGCTTCCAAGCTGCCAGCTGTGTTATGCTCCACCCCAGACACACACGCGCTTTCCCTGCATCCACTAACAGCCTAATACAGAGGGGATGCAATGGGGAAGCAGCGCTGGCATCTGGGGAGTGTGCTATATTGCAATGCAGGGGCAGTGCTGGTGTCTGGGGAGTGTGCTATATCGCAATGCAGGGGCAGCGCTGGCACGTCTGGGGAGCTTGCTAGATCGCAATGCAGGGGCAGCGCTGGCACGTCTGGGGAGCGTGCTATATTGCAATGCAGGGTCAGTGCTGGCGCGTCTGGGGAGCGTGCTATATCACAAAGCGGAGGCAGCGCTGGCGCATCAGGGGAGTGTGCTAGATCGCAATGAGGGGGCAGCGCTGGGGCATCTGGGGAGCGTGCTATATCGCAATGGGGAGGCAGCGCTGGCATGTCTGGGGAGCGTGCTATATCGCAATGCAGGGGCAGTGCTGGGGAGCATGCTATATCTCAATGCAGGGGCAGC